TTAGTTAATTTCTTTACCCCGTTATTTTATAACCGCGGTTTTACCCCTTTTGACTAATTTATAGTAGCGTAGTAGCTGGCGTTATAAATTCGCGCTGAGGTAGCGACGCTTTTAAAATTTCTATTCCTTAATGTGCTGATAATAAAATTAATACGCTATTTATTCGAAAGATTGGCGAGAAGGTTACTAACAGGCTCTATAGTATACAAATTTATATAAGAGTAACTTGATTATTAGTAGAATGGATATGGTATGTGGAATAGAAGTTGGGTGAGATAGCGTTGGGTGAAAGTATTAGAACGCTACTCGCCGTTTATTACGTTAATTAGAAAGGCGGTGACGCGCGCTAGCTAGTCAAAATTTATATTAGTTATATTATTTATAGTATCAAACGTTAAAATACCTTCAATTTCAACGCTTTTAGAATGATAAAATGAACGTTTTGGTAGTTGATAATGGATTCAAATAGTTGTGTAAGTTAAGGTTACTTAAGGTGGGTATGCAAAAAAACGAATATATATTGATTTGCTAACAAAATTGCAGGGTTGGCCATGTACTTGGATTTTTTCGCGAATCTATCTGCATTCGCGAATTCATCTACCAGACCCATTGCTACGCAATGGGTCTGTGAGGCGTTTCTAGCCCAGACGAGTAGGTCGGTCCCAGCGGTCCTTGGACCCCATTCGAGTGTGCGGTGGTCCCCGGCTGTGCCCACAATGAGCGTGCCGTCCATTACGCAATTACAGCGGATTACCGACCGCCTATCCTTACGGTACCCCGGACGGGAGGACATCAAGCGCCATGGGATTGGTCAAGCTTCGATGACGGTGCTCGGCCACGCTTTCTCGGATGTGTAAGTTACCGTAATTTCATGATCTTGGAGCCCCTTTGCTGCCCCCTCGACCAATCAGCAGCCTTGCATCGAGAAGTGCGATCCGTACAAGAGCGCAACCACATGCCCCCGCTGGAGCAGAGCCAAATCCGACCTCAGAAAGCCAAAGAAACACGCAAAATACACACTGTGACACTGGAACTGCGACGAAGAAAGACAAAGTGCAGCGTGCGTGCAGGGCAACAGTGGGCAACAGGGCTTTGCAGAAAAGACCGAATTCACAAAAACCCGCGCGACTTTTTTTTTTTGCAGAATTTGTCTCTTGACTGACCGGCCCTTCCTTTTACCGTTATTGAGTCACGAAACAGAACGACCTACGCACCAGCCAGGAAAACGTATCCGCATTTTTTCCTGAAATCGCCAGCTGCCGAGCCGGAAGGGACAGGAGCGCAAGCGCGAGCTTTCGGGGTTGGAATGTTTGGAAGGTACAAGGAACGCAGGTACCTCTGCGGCTTTGTGGTCCAGTGCCATGCACGTCATAGTCTCCTTGGCTCTACCTGTTCAGCCAGTCCCGTTGCATTATCTCGATGCTCCGAGCCCCTTTGAATGTTGCCCCTTTCCAGCCTGGCATGTCACTCGCTCGTCTCTAGCACGCTTCCTCTACAATGTGCAGAGTTTCGGCTGGCATAAGCCCGATTATGACCCTTTGTTAATTAAACGCTCGACCTCAGCGCGTGGAATAATCAGAACCGACGACAGTAGTTGAACGACATCTTTTTTCTTATCGGACGACCTGGCCACTGCCCGTCTTTGGATGAACAGGACATGGGACCAGATGCAGTGGGGCTGATCAATTATGATGGTTGTGGTTAGAGGCAAGTGATGGTTCTTTGCGCCATACCTGAGAGATCCATTGTTTGCTCTTGCCATAGAGGCATTCCCATTCTCCCAAATGGGGATTATCTCTTTCTTGCTCCTGCCCGTTAAGTACAACGGTTGCTGTTCGAAGCGGTAGTCGCAGGCCTGGCCCCCGGCCGTTCTTTTTGCTCCTGCCGTGTCCAGATGCGATGTCGCCAGACCTGCCAGATTTCCCCGCCCATCCCTTCCTCATCAAACATGAATCGACCCTTAATGTTTCTCACATCAAATGCTGGTTGAGAAGGAGAAGCCTGTGAAGACAGCATGAACCTACCCACGATTCTTTGACCACTCAACAACCATCTGGACCGCTGACTGAGCATATAGATCGATCTACCTGTTCGGCAACACGAAAGTAATATCGATCAAGAAATGAATGCATCCCGTAACTTATGCACATCCCTTCTTCATGATCACCTTGATGACCCCTAATTCTTGGTGCCCGTGTTTTATAAGCCCGAGGCGCGCGCCTCCGACTTGGACGGGGATCCCTTTGTCCCCACGAGGACGTCACTACCCCAGACTCGACTTGGGCCAGGCCGTTTGACCTCCCCCTGCCCCGTGCCCCGTGCCTCCGTGCCTCGTACCCCGTCGAGCCCCCGCCCTCGGCGTCCGCCCGCGCAGGATCTAGTGGCAGCGGGCATCTCAGATCCTCGACTCGTCTTCGCTCACCGGCCAGGCATCAGATGTTTGCCTGTACCTACCGGGCATCGCACAAGGCTTTTGTTTTGCTGGGCCCTTCTCCTTTCGGTCGGTATCACGGACTCGATACATTCAACAGCTGCCCCCTGGCCCGGTGCTTTGCAGATTCAAGTTTTTATTTTCCAGCGTCCCGAGATGGAATTTAAGTCTCGCATCAAGATGGTTGTCAACGGCAACTGCGGCTTTTCACGGCGTCCTTCACAAAGAGCATGGGCTGTGTCTCCAATGCCGCCAGGAAATGGACACCTTGACATCTCTGCAATATCCCAGCTCGTGCCCAGCACACTAATGCTGAGGGTGCATGCAGTAGTGTCTCTGGGGCTGCCTCTTCAAGATCCCGCCTCACCCGCCGCTATACTGTGTGCGGCCCAGCTATTGTCCTAGTTGGAATTGGGTGTGGGTATGCCTTGCTCCCGTCATCTTCAACTCACCTCGGTCACAGTTATTGTTGTCATCGTCCGTCAGCCGCCGCCCGACAGAGGGGCGAATTTTGAAGAGATACCATTCTTTTCCCATCACGGTTGCCTGGACATCATGTCCAGTGCTTCGGTCGAAGCGAAAGCCATGTCGAGGAGCCGTCAAGTTGGAAAAAACCATCATCACATCCGAGCAACTGCTACAGCCTCGAGAGTTGCACAACACACCTTCAACGCCAATGGCCTTATTGTGCTTTTCCCCGATTTCGAGAAGCAAGGGGGCTGATGGAGGGGTCAGAAATGCAAGGTTGGCTAGTCCAGTCACCCGCGGGTTACACATGAATACTCGATGACCCTAGCAGTCAGGAGAGTTTCTGTTCGTAAACAGGGCATCAAATGTTTGGTATCAAGTCATTGTTCTTCTGTACACTACCGCACAAGATACTTGGGACTGGGCTGACAGACGTCCAGACCACGGAAATGTGCGGTAACACTGCGCCAGCGCTTGGAACGTTGAATGCCTGCTTATTCACGGTCAGCTTTACACACTAAGGCACCAGAACAGGTGTGATCAACGAAACCGAATCTGGTCATGATAGCCTCAATATCCTCAAAGACCGAAGCCAGGCTGCTCTTCGGCACACCTAGGAAAGCATGGGAGCGGCCAACGGGCGCAACATGGACTTACCTCACTCATACCCCCTAATTCGGAACACGATGTGCGCCCCAGTGAGCATGCCGAAACGAAAAATACGACCGCGGCCAGAGATCAAGGCACTAATACCTCGGTGATACGAAGCTGAAGGAATGCATTCCAAACCATACGTATAACCGTAGGTGCGGTTCCAAAACGCTCTCAATGCCGTCATCAGCATTCCACGCCTTTGGGTTCAGGTATGAAAACCCGAGTTTTGACAGTCTGGCAGGCTTGTAGGGTCTCATTTCCTGAACTATTAATAACTCCGGATATATTGCAAGTGCATCGAGTACATTGATCTGATTTCTTGCATGGTAGATGTAACTAAGAGCCAGTCTTCGATGACAACCACCCAAGGACGCTCAAGTTGCCTTGCTGAAAAGGTGAGGGACAGATCATGCAGGCGGCCTGCTCGGAGCGAGCCGGGGCACGCTACCTTGGTGGACGGGAAGTTTCCCGGGGCCCCACCCCTTGGCTCCGGTCTAGAAGGACCCACAAAAGCCCGGGGTAGTTCCCGTCCGTGATCCACCTGATGTGATGTCCAAGACAACGTCCCTCTTCGCCCTTGGTTCCCCTTTGTCGTCAGTTCTGGCAGAAACCTGCAGCTGATATTTTTTCCCTTTTTTCTTTCTTAATCGATCTCTACCATCTGTCCCTGTCTCTCGGGTTATCTTTTATTTCTCTGGTGTTGTTGACAGCGCACGAGTCCTCGACGATCGACGGAGGTGCAGCTGTAACGGGAACTATCATATGTAGCCGCACCACGACATCTGATCATACAAGGCATATCCGCATCTTGTATGTCCATCCACATGTCAGGAAACTGGCAGAGGCGCTTCGTGCTTCACAGAAATGTTTGATAGTTACGACCGTCTCGTGGGATTGGCTGAACCAAAGTTTGGAAAGTCACATCGTCTTGAGATTTTTCTCTCTCTTTTTACTTTGAACGTCCTCAGCTGAATGAATAACTCAACTAGACAACAGCCTTGGAATTGGCATTTTTGGTTGGTTGACAACGCCTTTTTGGACGGCGTTTCTGCAATACATCGTCTGGCTGGTAAGTATACCGGCTTCGGCTTTTTGTTTGGCCCTCGAATCAAGCATGGAGGTTTGACAGTCAGACAGCCACCGACGCGTGTTCGGGATCTATATATCTCCTTCGGGAAGTCCACTGCGTCATCTTCACCTGATTTGCCTTGATTTAGTCTGCAGTCCTCATTTGAAAAACTTCTCTGAATCAGGTGCAAAGAAGCTCTCTGATGGTCAAATGAAAAGCATACTGCGTACCATCTAATTGAATGGTTAACAGCGATGTTTGTCGTTCGTCCGCCTGTGTCGATCCCAGCACAGCACATGTCAAGCCCCCACGAGATCTCGTGGCAGATGCGAGATCGCTCATCACTCTCTGCCCATCACTTGCTTCCTATCCCGGGTTTCAGGTTTGCGTTGGTGCGATCGGCACGCCCTCTTCTCTTTCCAGAAAGCACAATATGAACATGCCCACAAGAGAGCAGTCAGCGAAGATACACAACAGATGGAGGAGTGGCTGCATGAAGAATTGGAGAATCACAGGCCCAAAGGCCAAAGTTACCAAAGCAGAGAATCGCTTCTTCAAGAAACGCTCCGTCCAATCGGAAACTTCGCGGTCTATCCAAATCATGATCACCAATGCTCCATTATCACTGGGACCTGCAACTATATACCTTGCCCAGTAGGTATGCTAGTGTACATGTCTTCAAGCACGTGGCATGGCAAGCTTCAGCCATCACCGTGCTGGATCCTTGCTGTTCATTTTCATCTCGTCATAATTATCTCCTACAGAAGGGGGGGACTCTTCCTTTCCGCCACTGCCATCCCTTGCGAGAAATGGTTACTTAACCCGAGAACACAAAAGAAGCAAATCTGAAAGGGTCCAGGAACCGACGGCAACCCCAATTGGTACCACTCAACACACGGTAAATTACCCCGAAAATTACGGACTTGATTTGCATACCCCTGAGTTTCCAGACCACGGCGTGGTGCACCTTGACCGCGAACCCTGTCATTCATTGTTTGTAAAGAACCAGGACTACGGCAGCCCGGCAAGGACCAGGGCCAGGGCCAGGACTCCCTTAAAGATCTCGAGACCCCTAAACTCTCATGTCCTCGGAAATCGCCATTGCACATGCGCTTTACGTCCTTGGGGATATATTTATCCCAGCTGTACATGCCAATTCTTCTGTCTACATACTGCTGCCCACGTACCATATGAAGCGAGCAGTTTCGCCATGTGGTTTGGTTTGGTTTCGGTTTCGTTTCTTTGATTGTCTCGCTAAGAAGCAGACTTTATCCGTTCCAGAACCCAGAAGTTCCAGTCCCATGTTTCGTTCATCTCTTGGCTTTTCCTTAACATGGCTAGGGAGAACTCAGAACGTAGTATTCAGTTCTCTCGTTAATGAACGGCAGGGTCAGGGTTGATGTGGTTGATGTGGTTGTTTATCTCCGAGATTTCCTTTCTCGCCTTGTGAATGAATCCGCTCACATGTTGGCTGCTCTGGCGAGGACCTGGGATTTTCTTTTCCTCTTTTCCCATTTCTGCTCCTTTTTTTTTTTTTTTTTTGTTGAAAACCTTTCGTGTCACAAGAACATGGGAATTGTCTCAATGTACTTGGCCATGTTTCAACGTACTATATTGTTTCTTACCTGAAGCGTTACGCTAACAGTTACAATCCACCATCTCTCGGACTCTCTTGAGTGTCGATACTTGGGTACGGTGAGCGAAGCAACATCATCACACTAGTTATTCCTTGAGTGCGGTGCCCTCACATATGCTCAGGCGGCCACACGCACGAATATTTTTCCACGGATTTTTTGTGAGGCTGGCTGGCTTCGGCCCTCCCTAGATTCAGGAGACCTGATATGCAGCACGCCCCCTCGACGCCGCTCGACGCCTCGCAACGCCCGTTTTCCCACTCCCCGCAACAATTGTTTAAATGTACAATTGCAGGTGGCTTCTAGCTTTCTGAGCCATCTTACACTTGTGACGTAGTTATCATCCGTTTGCAAATCATGTGTGTGTGTGTTTACATATTTTTCAGCAATACCAACAACAACTCAAGAATTCCTGGCACGCCTCTCCGCGATCAGGCTATCTCACAGCCGCTGCCGCCGTGGTTATGGTAGATTAGCAGGTTTGATATCCAACATCAGGCCCAGGCTCAGACTCATCAACGGCTTCAGTTCCGGATCATCGCCCGGATCAATCGATGATCAGGAACGGTAAAAGCAGGGTTACATGCAATACGGTGGTAATGGTGGCTGCCACTGTCGTCATCGTTGTCGATGACTCCCCTGTCTCGTTGTACGTGCATGTTTGGCGGAATGTTTCTTGCTTAGAGCCTAGAGGTACCGAGTGAAGTTGCGGTTGTGTAACCGAGGGGAATATGGAGCATGGAAGATTCGATGTCGGTGGTGTACCGCTTTTTCTCACTCGATACGGTTTCACTCAACCGAGCTCAACTAGGTATAGCGCCGGTTATATCTGGCTTCGACCAATCTTCTGGTGAGTTGATGCGGGTCGCAGGGTTTCCTGGGAACGATCCAGTAATAGGATTGGTTTGAGTGAAACCGTATCGAGTGAGAAAAAGCGGTATGACGTGAAGTCGTGAACCAAAAAAAAGAAGAAAGAAAAAAAAAAAAGAAAAAACCACGACGGTTCTATGGCAATACTGCTGGTGTCTTGCGGTAGCTTGTGAAACCGTATCGAGTGAGAAAAAGCGGTATGACGTGAAGTCGTGAACCAAAAAAAAGAAGAAAGAAAAAAAAAAAAGAAAAAACCACGACGGTTCTATGGCAATACTGCTGGTGTCTTGCGGTAGCTTGTGAAACTGGGGACTAGATCTCGAACTTGCCCGCGGTGTATGCTTGGTAATTGCGGAGACAACTGCTTGAGAATGGGAGCTGAACTACCTACCGGTGTGAATTTAGCGTTGCTATACCCGAGTGTCCGGGGCTGGAGGGGCGCCCTCCAGAGAGAAGATGTGATAGTAATTGTCTGAGTGGTAAAGGCATGGAGAAGTTGCACGTGGAGTCATTCGTGTCGATTGATAATGGAGATTGGTCCATCCGTTGAGATTTCCCTTCACTACCTATGTGAGCATACCTCTACCTATTCAAGATGCCGTTTGCTGACTAGTACCGTCCTGATTCAAGTTGTAAAGGAATGTTGAAGTAAGAGAGTGAGAGTCAAGCTGATCAGAAGTTGTGTACCAAGGAACCATACCTCAGGTACGAAGGTGTACACTTATCAGTTCAGATTCAAGGACAGTACCTAATGCTTCATGATCAACCGCCTCATGGGCGCACATCTTCAGCTTTGTTAGTGGATGGTCTTGATACACGTAGTTGGCCAGGCGCAATCATTGAAGCATAGGGTTTCTCTTACACGATGAGCTTGACTTACCGCACCACCCCTTTTGCCTTGCCGCACTATATTTAACTTGCCGCACCATATGTCAGCTATTATAATTACAAGCCGTTTTCACATAGAAATTTCAGTATTTTCAATGTTTTTGAACATCATAGTGCACTAAGTTAAGAAGGGTGCGCCAAGTTAGCAGGGTACGCCAAATTATTTGGCGATATTTTCTAATATTAAACGAATAATATTCTTATAATATTTACGTAGTATTACGGCTCTATAAGGCTCTATACAGCTCTATAAAGCTTAGCTAAGCTTCTTACTCTATAACTAGAGGATTCCTCTAATTATTGCCCGGCTATACTCTATGTAGATCAGGGTCCTTTACGCAATTTCCTAATGGGTAAATCCACTTCTCCTCCTCATCTACTACCTCATTCTCCCTCCTTCTAACTATTGCCCACTTCCTCCACTCCGTTATAGCATAATCCAAAGTAATAAAGTACTCCTTCTTAATATTATCCCTATTAATAGAGTTTAACGGTGAACTTAGCAATGAGCCCAGCTCTAGCTCTAGAGTAGGGCGTTTACAGGAGGTATATATTAGGCAGCTAAAGGAGGCGGTTAAAATTAGAGCCTTACCTTCCCTCCCTTTACTTAATCCCTTAAATCTACCCCTCTTACATTTCGGCACCTAATCTAGCTATTAGGTATTATTATTAATAATAATATAATCCCTATCGCTAACCGCCTTTCGCTCGTTAGCCGCCGCTTCTTTACTAGCCTTTTTATCAACCTTATTTAACGCTTCTAAATTAGGCTTAGAAATTTCGATTTGAGAATAATCACATCTTATAGCATTAGGTATACAATTACTTCTCTTAACTTGAACTACGCTGCGGGGACCCCTCCTACTAGACGAAGCGGGCTTTAGTATAATTACTTTATTACTAAACGGACTATATTAGTTCTTAGGGCGCCCTTTAGGAACCGCTTTTGTTATAAATACTATACGAAAGTAATAATCCTTATTATTGAGAGCCTCTTCCAAGTACTAGAAAAGATTATAGTCGGTAGTATTAATTAAGGCTTTTTTAGAGTAGCCCTTATTATACTACTTTAATACTTCGTATACGTAAGGTAGCCTATATTAAATTATAAAAGTACTATTGCAAGTAAATAAATTTTAGGGGTAAAGATTCTTCGTAGTTCGTATAGTATTAGAAGCCTTCTTATACTCTTTTATAAATAAGTTTAACCTTTAATTAGTAATCCGGAGCTTATAATTACTTAATTAATCGATTTTGAAGTAATTGCAATAAACCAGGGAATTAGAAATAACGATACCCTCTTTATATAGATTGTACCGCTTTTTAATAATTATTTTAGTTATATAATATATTTTATTGAGGTTTGTACGCGTTAATAATCCCTTTACTTTAATATTAGCATTAATCGATTCGTTTAGGAAGGTTATTTTATAATTATAATTAGAGAGCCGTTTAATATAATAATTAATTTACTCTTTTTAATAGGGTATAATTTCATCGTTAATATATTTAAATTGTTTTAATTAGGTATCCTTAAAGTTGATATCTATAAAGCATTTAATCTTCTTAAAATTATATAGATTGTCACTAAATATTATATGTTGCTAATACGTGAAGAAAATAGTTTTCGTTTATATTATTTGGGCGGAGAGGGAGTTTATTTTAACCTGCGTTCTAGTAGTCGTACGGACCTTTTAATACGCTCGCTAGAACTCCTCGAAATTTATAGTATTTGGGTCGAAATCGTTATTATTACTTTACTAAGGCTAGGTAAATTGAGGGGGTTAAGAGGAAGGCTGGGAGGAAAATTGGGTCGATTAGGTTAATTATAACCGATTTAACTAGGACCCGCTACGCTCTCTTTAGAAGTTGCGCCTACCCTTCTAACTACTACCTTTCTTTACTTTCGCTTTCTTCTCCCCCTTTTAATACTTTTTAATAGTAATAATAATATTATTATTAAGATATTATATATACCGTCAGCACTTTATATTATTCAAGGTAATATTTAGCGTAGCAATAAATTAGGGATCGCTATTTAAAATAATAATATAAGGCTTCCTAATTTTTATATCTTTTATTATATCTTATAACTATTTGAAATATTATTTAAAACCCTTTTCCTTTTGCTCGATATTAATTAGATATTAAAAGATTAGGATAATTATATATATAGAAGTTATAATAACTTTTCTAATTAACGGCTTGTAAAAGCGCTTAGTTTTATAAATTATATCGATTATTAAAACGCTAGGGAATTGCTTCTAGAGCTTAAATTGCTTTATAAGGACCTAGAAAGCGGTATTAAATATTTGGTTATTATCCTCGTCCTCCTAGATATTAACCGCGGCGTAAATAACCATTCTTTCCTTTCAACTGAATCCTTACTCTTCATTTAATATTTATACGAAGTTTTGAATATTAATATAGCCAGTTTTTTATACTTTACGGGCGCGGTATTATAGGTTAGAATAGTCTTTCGTATTAAATAGTGTCATGGGGCTAGAGCCTAGGGGTTAAGCTTGGCTGATGCTAAGCCGTGTCCTGTATTATCAATAGGGAGCCTGCCTTATCGATAGGGAGCCTGCCTTATCGATAGGGATGCGAGCCTTCTGGTTGGCCAGACCTGTATAATTGCCTAGCCCGTACGCTCTAAGCGATCTATATAAAACCTTCTCTTAATTATACCCTTCTAGTACAGTCCTTCCTTTTCTTCTTTATTAAATATAGCATTTCAACCTTATACGACTACTCACTATATAATACTCTCGTAAACACATTATATTATATTTGACTCTCTTTTTAAATCCCTCGTCGCCGTTATCATTCTTTTGTAAGTACGCCTGAAAGAACTCCCCTCTTATTGCCTCGTTCTCTCCACAATACTACCTTTCCCTCTACGTCTTCGCGTTACCTTTCTTTTGCTAGTACGTTAAAATAATTTCTATTACCGTCTTTAACGATATTTTTCCTTCGTTAATACCTATTGCGTTCGTTCGCCTGCGATTAAATTAAATCTTAGCTACTACTACTTAAATTCCCATCCCTCTTAATAATAATACTAATTTTTCTCTAAATTTTGAATACTAAAGAGCGTTCCGCTAATTTAGTAAATAGCTCTTTCCGTTA